ATTTCACTGGAGGAAAGCTAACATTTTATTTTATTTGTTAATTTGTTAATACCCTGCCTTTCCTCCAAAGAACACAAGGCAGAACATATGATCTTCCTCTATCTTCCTACTATATTGTGAAATATAACATTATTATCACAGAACATTCATAACCTGTCCTTCTTTCCCTGTGCAAGGAACCAAAGGAAGCTCATTTATTCCTCCTTCTCCAGTCCATTTTATGATCACTGCAACCCACTGAGGTAAAGTTAAGCTGCGAGTCCATTGCTGGCCTGAAATCACCCAATGAGCTTCATGGCCAAGGAGGAACTGGAATCTGGATCCTCCCAAGTCCTAATCCAACATTCTAACCAATACACCAGACTAGCTCTCTAAGACTAACCCTAAACAAAAGAGGGGCCACAATAGCAGGCAATGCTCCGGTGGTGGTGGTGAACATGTGACCTTCTGCCATGCCTAGCCAATATAAACAGTTGCAATGAATGCTGGGAGTTGCAGACCAGCAGTGTCTGGAAGGCCACTCATGCCACATCCCTGATTTTGGCAATTTCCTGGCTCTTGCGTGGCCATGTGATGAGTGAACCAGACCGCCACTCTTGATGAGCATCCCAGGGTCATCATGACTTAGTTTCTGAAGAAGAGGACCTAGAAAACACGACGATTGGATTTCTGGAGACTCAGCAAGAGGCAGAGGCCTTTGAAACTCCCTTAAGTTTGCTGCCCACAGGTTCCCAGGTTAACCAGGACAGCAGAGATGGTTTGGAAGAGATGGGATGGGTCCAAGAAGTTGAAGAGGGAGACTCATTGCCTTGCTTGATCCCTGACCCCATGACCATCTGTTGGGAGAAACGAGCTGCCCAGTTAGAGGGCTTGCATAGGTTTTTCCAGTTGGCATTTTACCAGTGGGATCCCTCCTGAGGGAATCACTGAAAGGGAAGGATCTTGGGCAGATGCTTATCTTTCAGCTTACTAGAGAGTTCTAAGAGTTATTTTGCCTTTTAGTTGTGAAGTGCCAATAAAGAATTGCATTGCAAAGAAATGGTCTGGTGCCTTGGAGCCTAAGGGCAAAAAGCAAAGGACCTGCTCATGACAGGCCATGAACTCTGAAAACCCAGGGCTCCTGATGATACAAAAAGATGCCTATGCATGCAGAGTTGCTTTTTTATTATATTTCAATACTACTCAATAGCTAAAGCTTATTGAGGGTTGCAGTGGTATAGGGGTAAATTTCAAAGTACAGGCATACAGTTTGAAAGTCACCAAAGTCAAGCCCTTTTGAAGAGTCAAAAAGCTGAGGCACCAACTTGATCCAAATCAAGAAACAAATCCCAGCAGCATTAATTCCCACCAGGAGTTATTATTTTTACAGTTTATTTATTTATTGGATTCAACGGCTCTTAACTGCCCATTCAAAATACATTGCCTTACAGTATTTGGTTGCTGAAATAATTCATCCCCAGCAGCCCCCTTATGCTATCCTGAAGCCTGAGGGGCACCATTGCACATCTCCACTACACACCACTGATGGGCAGAAATTGGCAAAAGGAGCTGCCCTCCAAGCCTCTGTGTATTTATATTCCTATTTGTAACCTGAAAAGGGTTTGGACCTCATAGAGTTACAGAGAGCTCAACGGCTCTGACTGCTCTTCAGATGTATTACCATTTTCCCATTGAACGGACACTTCTTCATTCTAGGGTGACCTTTTGCAAAGCTAGTCATCCTCTGGCTCCTAGCTCCTGAAGGAAGTGAAGCAAAGAACCACCCCTGAAAAATGCAGGACTTCACAGGGGATACAAGAATGTACTGTCAGTGTTTGTGTTGGCTACCTCGCCCTGGTCTACAAGTGTCCTCAGAGACACTGCAATTTGTCTTTGAGAAACAGTCGAAAGAGGAAAAATTAAAGAGAGGCCTTGTTCTTCACCCATGGCAAGTGAACGTAAGGCATTGTGCAGTGTCCAAGCATCAAGAAGAGACTACAAGTTGCCTTTCTTTCCAAAAGTAAATGAAAACATATTGACTGCAACTGAAAAATATGCACTGTGGAAAATATAAATGTGTTTTTGTATAAGTATGCACATAATCAGCAGATTTCCAAGATGGAAGGGACCAAAGCAGATGCATTTTGAAGTATTTCACTAGCAATTTGCCCTTTACTACAGAAACCCTGGCGCAAAAGAAATCAGCTCCACAGCAGCCTCCCCCTCCCCACCCAAACAAACTGCCTTACACTTACAGATTTGTAAAAGCAGACTGACCAAATTTTGGCATAGAAAATTGTGCCATGTGACAGCACACTGGGTTTGACATGCTATGCTTTCTTACAGCATACCCTGCACTTTGCAAAAGGTTAAACTTCATTCAATGGCTATATTTGGTGGTAAAAATTAGCCAGAGTTCTTAAGAATTTATGGGTTATTATTCATGACAAGGATATATAGGCAGGTTGTCCTGTCCCTCCAACCTAGCTATTCCTGCCAGCAGAAGCAGTTAAATTAACCAGAAACTAATGAGGAAGAAAAGACTTCCCATTATGTCTAGAGCTGCCTCCTGGCTTGTCACTGAACTTAAAAACCAGAAACAGGAAGCCAACCAAATATTCTGAGTTTAGACTCTTGTGAATCAACAAACCAGGTTTGGATGCAATGGGAAAGTTTTTCTACCACGTTAGTTTGTAGTTTATTTAGCTGCTCCCACTGCTGGATTGAGCCAAGCCAAAGCAATGAGACAGAATGCACAAGCACAGTGTTTATGAATGATATGCCAAAATTCTTAGCAACTGTAGCTTATTGTTACATCTGAGCACAGGCAACAGAATTTTTTTTGATTTACTTTTTATCTAATTTTGCCTCTTCAACCAATATACCTACGCAAAGTCAGTAATCCTTTGAAATTCACATTTTCCCACATTTTACAATTGAGTTTTCCAATTAAGAAATTGATACAGAAATTTCAAAATTAGGGGGAAATGCATACAGAATATTAATATTAGTGTAAATAATTTCAAAAAAGGCATATTAGGAAAACCGCTTGTAGAAACCACATACATTAGGCAAAATTGAATGCAAAAATACATATGCTAAGAGAAATGTGCACAAAAATATTTACACTTTTCCTGTAAACTTGTAAAAAAACCCCTCAATGTTGGGGTACATGAATTTAAGACTGGAAAACAAAGAAGCAGGGTAAAACCAAAATCAACAGATTTCTCCATCCTTTCATCCACCTAGCACATGTAAAATCCAATGGGCTTCTGCAGGAAGTCTGGCAACACCGTGACCATTTATCTCAGTTCATGGGAGCTTATGAGACCAAAGGCTTTTCTGTTCCAGAATTCTGACTTCAAATAAATATTACTGGGTGGTCCAGAAATGGTTGCTATTCTCTATCTTCCACATCTGAATCAAGATTAAAATAAACACTCATTTAAAAAAACAAGCCATTGATAGGCCTGCCTTCCACAAATTCACCTAAACTTCTGGATAGCATAATGCATGAAACATCAGGAGCTGCTTTTGTTATTTGAAAGGTATTGATGTTCCAGCCATTAAATTCCACATTTTTAAAGTCATATCTGATGCATGTTTTGTATAAGACAAAAACTGCAATCCAAAGCACAGTTTCCATTATGTTGTGGGACTTTCTTCCTAATAAACATGCAAAGTGTGTAATCCTGTGATAAGTAGACAAGTCCCCAAGTTCTCTATACATACTAAGTAACTAGCTACTAATAAGCATTGACTTATAACATTTCATACCCATGTACTCAAAGATTATTGTAGCAAGTTTCATAAATAGTGAAAAGTACTACAAATATAAGTAGAAGCCAAGTTAAAATAGCATACCCAGGTACACCAAATCAAGTAGCAGTCATTAAAACCTGATTCAGACGAAGCAACTGAAAAAGAAGGTGCAGCAGGTTTATTTTTGGTCACAGATGCCATCATCTATGTCCAAAAAGGGCAAATGCAACTTGTTGCCCACAGACATTGCTCTGCCCCAAGACATTTTACAGGCTCCTCCCAGGATGCCCTACCCTTCCCATGCTTTATTGTACCGCTAAGCTAAAAATTCATATTCTCTTACCAGCAGCGAGGATCACATCAGAGCAAAGTGAGGGCCTCCAGCTGGTACTTCCTCTATTCCCCAGCAGTGCCCGAGGGCCATGGGGTGGCAGTAGGGGCTCAGGGGCATTCTTGGGAAATGAATGCATCCAGACACCAAGAAAAAGAACAAAATTAAAGGGGACTGCTGTCTAGTTAGGATGGCAGAAAGGAAAGCAGCAAGGGTGCAATGATGAGAGCGCTAGCTAGTAACTGGCAGCAATAAAGAAAGGGCTGAGGGAGTCAGGTGGAAACAACTGGAAAGGCACTGGGGGAGTTGTTTGCATGTATGTCTAAATGGATAGGGATGAATGTATGTGTGAATGAGAGAGAAGGGGTTTTGGAGGAGTTCTATCACAGAGTGTGTTAGTGGAGAAGAACAGAAGGGAGGGAGGTATGTGCATGTGGGGCTGCATGGGTAGCTTGCATGTGATGTGGGGGTGGGAGAGGCAGGCAGGCAGACCATGGTGAGTGGTGCTCTGAGAGAGAGCGGGTTAGTGAAGTCTAAGTGTATGAGAAAAAACAAACAAGAGGGAATGAATTGGCCAGCAGGGTCAAGAGGCTGATTTCTGTTAAAGGGGGATTTTTTTGGTGCTAAAAACTGTGGGTTCAGAGGCCTTGTTTAATATGTTGGGGTTCAGACTCCATCTTTGCTTTGTATCAGTCCTTTGGGCAGTCATCCTGTAATTTTTGACTAGCCATATCTCCCATGGTAGCCATTTTGTGGTGGTGCCAAGGACAGTTTCTCAAATTACCCAGTTTCTGTAGGTTGCCAACCTCTGATTTAGAAGAACTGCAAAGCTGAGTTTCCCTTGAGAAGTTTGCCTCTAGAAAAACTAATCTACCAGCCCCTTGTAGGGCAACCACCTATCCCACTTTGACAGGATTTGCATTCTCACCTTCTTAGTTGGATTGAGCTTCCTTCCAGTGACTAGCTCACAATTAGCTCCTTTCCAATTCCGGATAGTTCTTTAGGGGTCTCCCTGGATCTGCAGAAAAGGAGAGAGATTATGGGTATCACTGAGATGTTGATGACACAGAATTCCAACTCCTACAACAACCTGGACATATAACTTTGACTGTCCATGTGCAAAATTTTTTATTTCAGTTATGAACAAATGAACTGCTGAATAATTCTAAGTAAACTTATCAAGATCCTTCATTGCCTTTGCAGCAGAAATTGACTTTAGTAAGGCTTATACTTGGTTGATCAGTACTATGGTCATCTGGATGGCCATAACAAATCAGAACTGCTAAATTTAAGTGAAAGGGAATGATGAAGGCATTTGGATCTTGTTTAATGCTAAGTTATGTCTGTTGACCTGCACTGAGAGATCAATCAATTTGGATGTCTTCCTTCCATTCAGGCAATAGATAAATAAGAATTGTACAGTGAGATGGCCCCCTTTCCTTTGATATTAACTTAGAGTATCACTATTCTTAAGGCACAGAAAGATAAAACAATTTACAATTTAATAAAACAAAGTAACGACTTCATTAAGCGAGCAAAAAGCTACCCTGAGTATATTTAAACTGCTGTTCACTGATTAATCAACTGCTCAGGGATGTGGCCCTCTACATGTGTTAGCACACAACTCTCATGATCACTCATGATTAGCTAAGTTGATTGCCTACCACCAAGCTAAACTGCTGGCTGACTGATGTACCAATCAAAGCTTGGAACCCCTAACTACCATCTCCAGTTAAGTGTGTATAAGGATTTTGAAATGCCTTATCATGACTGTAAAACCCACAGTGATTTACACACAGAGAATCTTTAGAATGAGGTAGGAAAGGGTGTCTCCAATGTTAGCCTAACTTAGACCCCATTCATTTCAGTACATCTGCTCTAAGTAGAACTCACATTGGGTACAACCCCTGCTTTCCTTGCAATTATGGCAAGACTCACTGCAGAAGACAATCACATTCGGGAAAGTCACTGGCAGAAAATGAAAAGGAAGAGGAAATATGAGTTGGATTGAATCCACAGCCCTGAACTTAGAATGGGGCTGTTGTGAACAGGACATTTTGGGGGGCTTGTATTCATGGGGTAAGTCGATGATGACTTGACAGCATATAACAATATCAAGGCCTCTTAATATGACTGGGGGCAGGAGGAGAGAACGAGAGGAATCCTACTGTATTTGAAAATATGCCCTGTTATGAAGTTTAGCTAGCTCATGATACTAGCATTCTGCTGCTAAATGTTGGTGAAATCAAATTCAAAGTTAAGGTGATTTTTCTTTAAGAAATGTATGTTGAAGTGTTTTTGTTAACCACAAGAACAAAATACACTAAATTGCAGGCTCCTGCAAAAAAAGTTAAAAGGAAGTAACAATGCTTTTTCAAATCCAGCACTTACATTGCATCCCTGGAAAACAAGCATAGCAATAATCTTTTCTGCAAATCAGGAATAGCAGGGTAAAACTGTAGTTCATTTCTCTATGGGATATCAAGCCTCTCACCATGGAAAATGCATTTACAGTACAACAAATCAAGAAACAGCAGGATCTGCTGCCTCCTCTTAAAGGTTAATCCATTAATCTTAGTTGTAAAGTATTTGATTTATACAAAGAATGTAGTTAAATATATAGGCCTAGCATTTATCTGTCTGATCTACAACATATTTACCAGTCAATCAGAATTACTTGCTCACCTCTAAACATAATCTGCCTGCAATTAGGATGTTTTAACCCATGCCTGGAGAAACATTAATGTACCCACCAACTATAGTTTAACTGTAGACACAGGGATTTGTAACCTTGTAATGAGTACATTATAATTTCCACAAACAACTACAAAGATGGGATTGCCACATACACTCTTCTGAAAAACAAAGATTCCCACATAGGCACAGAAATGTAGTATGCAGATTTTAAACCGTCCTAATACCTAGAATCTCAAGTAAAACTAGAATCTCCAGTAAAAATGCACACACACACCCCATGACATTTTTTTTTAGAAAACTTGTTTCCATGATTAACCAGTTCACACAATTCTTTTGTTTGTGTATGCATATCCAGGGAGAGCCAAGATTTCTTGTAGGCCAGTCAAAAAGAAAAGGAACCTGCCCTTTGATGTATATGCAGTAGTATGCATTGGTCAAATGAAATTCCATAGTATATATCACAAATGCATATCTTACAATAGGACTGAAATTAAGATTTGAGCAAATGGATACAAGTTGGGCAAATGATATGAAAGGTGGCAAGAACACTGTGAGTTCAGAACCATGGAGCAGTGTATTCCAAGTCACTACTAGGCATTTTAGAGACTTCTTTCTGGGGTTTTTTATGATATCATGTTTAAGGTAGGTGTCCAAACGATACATTATATTTATCCACACTCTGTCCTTAGGGTTTGAGGAAGCTTGTAGTAATTTTCCCAGTACCTGTCCTCTGCCTGCAATGGACTCATCAGATTGGATACAATGTTGCTCTCCTATCAGCAGAAAAGACACTAATGGTGGATTGAATCCCCCCTGCTGTGTACAGCCCCCCCCCCCCCGCACCTGCTCTGGCAGGTTGTGGGTCTGTCTAGAGTAGTTTTGGGGTGTGTTTTGAGTGCTGCAGGAAAAGAGAAGGGAAAGGAAACACCTATTGCACACATGAAAGTCATGCGTTATTGGATTTAGCCCATAAATAATATTTTATATTACAATAGGTTTGAGGATATAGAGCCTGGCAAAGTAAAAACAGATTCTGTTTAGTTCCTAAACATTCCTATTGCTTTTATAACAGAAATAAAGTTTTCCCACACTAAGCTGTTCTACTTATGTTTACGTCCATCTCCTGTCTTACACAAAAGAAAACAAAATAATTGAGGAGGCGGAGGAGAAGGAAGACAACTTGCTTCCTCCAATTGTATTGACAGATCACATTTTTAGGGCACTCTCTTAATATTAAATTATTATAATTATTAAATACCTGCCCTAAGTTCACATAGCCTTGGAATTTCCAAAGCCTTATACAAGATGCATCTTAACATAAAGTTATATTTGTTCCTCATTCATTTTGGGCTCAAAAATATTACAACCATCATCTTTAGAAAAGATGCATTTTATTGTTAATCATGCTGAAAAGTAGTCTCATCAGCTGGGTTTGATGACAGTCCCCTGTGCTTACTTCTTCAGCCTTGGCTCACAAAGCAGTTGGAATAGGGCCTGATGCTGACCAACAGGTGATGACAGAATCATCTAGTTTAAGCCCTTTTGGATGCAGAAAAGCCAGAGAAAAAGTGTACCCTCCACTGTAAAGCCTATATTCAGTTGTCCAGACTCTGCTAGAAGAATTCTAGGGAAAGATGGCCCACCAGCCTTCTAGATAGTTGGTTCCATTGTTGGAACTGCTCTCAGCATTAAGATTGTTACCCTAATCTTAAACCAAAATCTACTTTGATGTAATTTGAGTCCACTGGATCTAGTCCTACCCTCTGAGGCAGCAGAGAGCAAATTGTGTCCTTCTGATAAGAATTCAACTATTTGAAAAGAGCCATCATATCCCTTGTACCCCTTTCCTTCTCCTAATCACAGTCTAATTTCTTTGACCTTACTTTTTCCACACTCTTTGTCTTTGTTCTAAACTTGATCTAACTTATCTAGATCAGGAGTGCAGAACTTCAGGTCTGGGGGACAAGACATATAGCCCATCTGCGGTTATCAATATGGACATACCCTTTCCTCTGGCCCTACTCCCTTTTCCCAACCCCCGTTTTGTTGTGTGACTTCAAGTTGCATAGTTTTCCCCTATTCTAAAATACCTTTCCTAGGGTTCAGTAATTAACAGAAAGAGTTTTCAACTAAAATATGCTAGCATTTTTTGGTCACTTTGGCCTTGTTGCCTTTGGCCTCACCCACCACTGGAAGGCAGTCCCTGAGCACTGATTTGAAAGAGCTTTGGGTTGTTGCATTAGAAGACACGCAAGACCTCTAAACTAGACCTGTCATAAAGGGTGGAACCCAGAACTGACATTATACTGGTTGGAGTTGGAATGATTAGCATCAGATGTGGTTTGTTACTCTTTTTTTAAGGATTAAAGTGTCAGAATTATTACATCTGGCACCTGGCATTTTCAGAAAATTTAAAGTTTAAGAAATACATGCATTTTCCAATTCCACAGCTGAAACTACATCGAGAAGCCAGATTTGAGCTATGCATGATTTTTATATGGAAGCAGAGAAATGCTCAAAATGATGGTGGTGGTAAAGAATGTGCTTGTGGGTCACTTAGCCACAGGCCTGATTAAAAGTTAAAATGTATCAAGCTTTAGGTTTATATTAACCATGTGTGACATGAAACAATCCAAGAGAATGTTTCAATATACATCTTCTAGAAAAAAGCTTTTACAAACAACACTGGCATGAGCTTTTAACACACACTTTCCTAACTTTGTTTTCTCACTGTCCAATTTGCTTTGTTTCAAAGCTTCATATTTCAACACACTAAGAATTGCACTTGTCACACAAAAGGATGTTGATATAATTAAGCCAGATGATGTGCCCCACAAGTAAAGTCAGCCATTCATGAAAGCTGGTCACCAGAGGCCATTTCAAACAATGCATATTTCAGGGTAATCTAAAGTAATCCCTTCTCTCTGCTGATTTGGTTTCCAGGCAGACTTAAGCACATATGCCCTGCAAACAGGAGGCTTATTAAAACCTGATGTTATATTGGAGATTATAAGGCAGTGTGCTCATGATTGAATTCTGTGTTGATTATCCTTCAAACAAAAATATCAGTTATCAATGTGCTTATTAAAATGGAAATGTGTCATGATACTCCCAATGATTTCTTGTTGAGTCTTTAGGAAAAGTTATAACTAAGGATCTGACTTTGAACTTTTTTGGGGAAAGGGTTGATTGTAGCCTGACTTTTGCAGATACCAGAAAATACATGGGAAAACTTTCCAGCTCTTTTTCAGTCATAAACAATGTCTTTTGTGTATACAGAAATATAGGCTATTTTTTCATTCTCTTTATAAACCATTGTGT